GGTGAGCCCGATGTAGCATTTTGTGTCATCATTTGAGTTGACAGTGGTTTTGTGGATGATGGATGAGGTGAGGCAACTTCCAGAGAGTGGACATTCGTCTTTTTTCCTGCAATTGCAGAGTTTATCTGGCTGTTTTTGCTTAGCAATCAGAAGCTGTTTGTTATGGGCTCTGATTATACTGCCCATGTTTCTTGAGCAGCTATAGCTGACTTTGACATTGTTCTTGTTGAACAGCTTGTGCAAAATGTTGCCACTCGTGAAGTGTTTTCTTACCAGGTTTAGAAATGATTTTTCGATGTAGATTTCCACCCCTTTGCTGAATTGTGGGTTGTACCAGATTATTAGCCTGCTTCTATTTTTCTTTGGGGATTTTATTTGTGGAGGCTGATACACCGTTCAAAACCCGATACACAAACCATAAATACACTTTTAACACCCCCAAACACAGAAAAAGCACCGTACTCTCCAAATACGTATGGAGGTTAAAAGACAGCAACACACTCTACAATATCAAATGGTCTATTATCGACAGAGCATATATGTATATGTATATGTATATGTATATGTATATGTATATGTATATGTATATGTATATATATATATATATATATATATATATATTATATATATATATATTATATACTTGTAGAAAAAAAATCTTTCGAAAGATCAAAATGTCAGAGCCAAAGGTCAGTGGCGTCACGGAGTTTTTGGGACCCTGGCGCTGACTGTGGGGGCCCTCATACTTGTCAAAAATTTGCAGGCGAAGACTTTTGTTCAAAAACCTCTCCCCTGGGGTGGGGGAGTGTCTGGGGCATCCCCGATTTTTTTCATGAGAATGCATATTTCTGCCGTCCACGATCGAACGTATCCCTCTGACATGAGCCGTGCGCGTGGCAGCTGAGCTGCCACGCGCACGGCTGGCAGTTTGTTCTTGATGATATTGATGCAGCTAGTTTGATCTGATGATCTGATCAAAAATCTAGTAAGGGAAACAATATATTTTATTTCCTTGTTAAAGATCCATGATGTCAATTATTTTTAACTTCAATATATGGGCTCCTCGTACCTGGGGGCACTGGCGCTTCGCACCCCTTCAGCGCCTCAGCGTGACGCCACTGCCAAACGTAAGTATTTATCTGAAAGGTAATCATAAAGCCGACGCCATTTAAAAGAAAGATGAACAAAATAGTTGTTGGAAAATTTAGTTTAATAAAAATATTATAAAATTTAATATTTATTAAACAAGAAAGTGCGTGCGAGACTTCAATTACTTTAGATCCCATACCAGTATGTTTGCAAAAAGTAATTTTTGTAGTGCACCTTACCATTGCACGAGGCCTAGTTAAATACTTGACTGAAGGAGATAACATTGAATGAATTCAAAAGGTACAAAGGTGCTCATATGGATTATTGTTGCGGTGAAAAATTTTTAATATACAAAAGCCCAAAATCCTACTTGCATTCTGCGTGCATCTGCAATGTATTTATTGTATATTAAAAATAAATGGTTAATGTTAAAATAAGGAGGCATTTGCAAGAATATTTGATAAATATAAATTTAAATGAACATGGTCAAGATTTTTTTATGTGCTTTTTTTGGACATCCAATGCTTGGCTATATAGTGTAATCTGAGACAATTACAAGGAGATTGGAAATGCGACTGGATTCAATTGTTTCTCTAGTTTGTAATGTCGTGTGCTTCATTGATATGCAAATAAGGTTATTCGAACCGCAAGTGGTCAACTTCCACACACAAGACAAGCGGATATCTTCGTAGCAGTATAGGCAAAGATACTAGAAACGCAAGATAGAGTTCTCTACAGAAAAAAAATGCATGGTGGGAATACAAACAATAGGGGCGCCGCGTACGACTGGATCTAAAAAAAACTTCTGCCACCGTTACATAAATTTGAATAAATAACCTCTTTTTGCGGAGGTTGAAATCCTTGCCATTATCCATAAGATACACACAAGTAAGCATAAATAAATCAAAACAATAAAATGACAGACACAAAAGCACAGAGTCGTATGACCGGACTCTGATTAGTGATAACCCTATGGTGATAACGTTTTTCGCCATTAGTAGAAAAAGAAGGGCGCCGTGTGCGTCTGGATATACCTAGCAACGGAAGGGCGCCCTAAACGCCTGGATCAAGTATAGGAAATGAGGTCTTTTCCACGAATTAGTAGACATCTTGAAGTGATGACAAACATTGCAAATCACCGGTGCGTAACAAACAGAAATAAGATAAGATTTTAGGCTGATTTTCTGACATCATGTTAATTAAAAAAATCATAACTCCACAACAAGGCGTCGTATCCAAAAAAGTTTTCCAGCAAAATGTACTTAAAAGACTAGTCAACCACTATATGATTGAAAAAAATGTTTTTGATCTCTGAAGTCAAGATGGAAAAAGAAAAGCCTGCCTAAGTAGTGTATTAAAATAGGCCTATGCATTACAGTGCAGTGCAGTAGCATAGTGCTTCCCTACTGTTACTGTTCCAGGTACCGATAATATACGGATTTCTCTTATTAAGTACAAGACTTATGTTTTATAAAGAAGTATAGTACTATTGTAAATCATGTTTTTAATACAGGAAACTCTCATATGGTAACTAAAACAATGCTAGTCCAGAGTATCACTCTAGTAGTACTGCACAATGCATAAACCTTTCTTAATAAACTACTTAGATAGGCTCTTTTTCCATCTTGATTTCTGAGGTCAAAAACATTTTTTCCCAATCCAATAGTGGGGTAGAATAGTCTTTTGAGAACATTTTACAGAAAAAATGTATGCGATATAACCCTTCGTTACGGAGTTATGATATTTTTGATAACATGAGGACAAGAATTCAACTTCATCAAAGCTTATCTTATTTGCGTTTGTTACGCACCACTGATTTGGATTGCTTGTCATAACTTCAAGAATTGGAATTGGATTTATTCGGTGTAAACACCAAAAATAGCCCACGACTTATTTCCAGTGGGGTCCTTCTGGATTGGAACAATCCAATACCTCCTTCTACTGTGATGAAGAATTCACCAATGATCCTGATATAATGCTTTTAACAATTTTTTTTGTCGAAATTGGACCCTCCCATTCTAACAAAATTCCCAATGTTAACAACTCATTTTAAATACTTTTTCCCTAGCCCAACCCATAACTCTATATTTCTTACCCCAGTTGATGAGGCTGAAGTAATCAAAATACTTGCCTCTTTTAAAACCAACAAATCCCCAGGTATTGATGATTTCCATACTAAAGCCATCAGATATAATGCTAATCTCATCTCTCGTCCATTATGTCATATATTTAACATTGTCTTAACTAACGGTGTATTCCAAGACAGGATGAAGTTAGCACGCGTCACCCCTATTATAAATCGGGCATCAAATCTGACCTTTCTAACTATCGACCAATTTCAATACTATCAATTTTATCGAAGCCCTGGAAAAGGTAATTTACGATCGAGTTTTCTCATTTATTTCAGAATATGACATACTTTATGAAAAGCAGTTCAGTTTCAGAAAAGGATACGGTACGGTAGGAGTATAGTATGGCCCTGATTGATCTAACAAAATCGGACTTTTATAGATCTTTCCAAGGCTTTCGACACAATTGATCACAATATTATTTTATTTAAATTATCTCACTATGGAATTCGTGGCCCCGCACTTATCCCTCTCAAACGTTACCTCTCCAATCGGGCTTAGTGTAC